TTCAAAATGCTTTCTGAATTCTTTGAGCAAGGCAGAGGGAGATGTTTTCACTATTTTCTAGTCCCACCAGGCCTGGGGTCTATACTTGCAGACTTATTCTACCTTGTTCATCAAGAAGACAGGAGGCCCAATCATTACTACTTCATTTTGTAGGCTGGGAGACTGAGGCAGTGACTTGAGCCTCCTATACTCCCCAGAGGCAACTGATGAGAGTGAATGAGATTAAGGCCTACAGAAGTTTCTGTTTTGATTGCTCAGTGCTGAGAGGGGAATGCTGGATTTTTTAGTCAATCTGAGATTACACCCTGACTTTCCCAGCATTGCCCCATACTGCTGAGCTTAGCTTCCCATCTGCAAAGCACACTGACATTTACAGAGTGCTTTACTTGGAAGAACTTTGTCATCCTCATTCCATTATCTTCATCCAGTTTCTTAAAGAGGAGTCCTGAGACCTGAGACATCAGATCCTTGGCAGGGGGTAGAGGGTATTGCTTAGTTAAAATATAGGCTTCTGGGACCAGTGGAGGGGTGGAGTTTATCTGCACATTTAACAGGCTCCCCAGGAGACTTGACAATTTCAGGGAACCATAGATCCAAAACTTAAGCCACTGATTTCCTTAAGATCTACAACACTTGCTTGATATGCAATTTTATTAAGATTATCCTTTTGACTGCTAATCTCATGAGCATAATGTGCCTTTAAAAAAATAAATTGAATCAAAATACTCTCTTCAGCCATCTCACAACATTGTTTATGACAATCAGGGAAGTCAGATAAGTGTTAAGCGATTCCTAAGCCTGGAGGACTTTAAAGGTCTACTCCAACCCCCGCGTCATGTTTGGATTGTCGGTGTGCCAAATAATCACACAGCCTCAGTTTGCACACTACTGAGGAAAGACACATTTTGCATACAATACCAGGTCCTTAACCTAGTTTTCCTGCTTGCTTTTAGTCCCACCCCTGGCTTCTTCCCAAGCCCTCTCCCAGGCTCACAGCGCTTGACCCTCAGACTAACATATCAAGGCTCCTGGGCAGTTCCATCTGGTTGTCCCACAGGCTCCTCAAGCCCTTACAAACCCAACTGAATACATCTTATCCCTGAACTTCTTCCCCTCTCAGTGGGAAGTGCCCCCATCTCAGTGGCTACTTATTTCAAGCTAGAAATCTTGACGCCATCTGTGGTCACTTCCTTTCACAAAGGTTGGACACCAAACCCTGTCGGTTCCACCACCAAGCTCCACCACAACGGGGTCTGTGTTATTCACTATGGATTCCCGTCTCCGAGCAGGGTGCCCGGCTCCTATCAGATGCTCCACAAGTCCAGTCATTACTCCTCACTGCCACCCTCACGCTATGTGCCTCTGCCTACATTCTAGGCCTCTGACTCCTCATCAGACTTCCCCGCCTAGTCAGCTTCCACTTTGTAGCCAAAGGCATCTTTCTTTAACACAGATCCCTGCCACCCCTGCTTTGATCTCCTGCTCAGCTCCCTAAGATTTTTAGAGTAAAGTCCTTTCCCTACAGTAGTTCCTGCTGACTCCTCTAGTCTCATCACTCAACTCTAACTCTCCAGCCACCCGAAACGCCTGAGAACCTGTGAAATGCTGCCAGTCTTTTCTATGCTCCGTTGAACCTGAAATGCTTGGCCCTGATATGCTGACTCATATTCATCCTACAAAACTCACTCAAACATCATTATCCAACACATTCTACCTCACAGCTCTTGGTTACCTATTTTGGCAAATCTTCACTGTGAACTTTTTTTCTATCTTCACGTTCCCTAGGTGAGTTCATGTATTCATGAATCCAGATATCAACTCCACACTATTGAATACCAACTTATCAACTTTATTGGTAACTTTAGTCCTGATTGCTCCAGAACTCCAGACACCTATGTCTGAATCCCTACTTGTGTATTCTATCAGGCATCTCAAACTTGTTAAAAACAAATCTTGTTTTCCCTACTCACTCTCAACTCAATCTGTTCCTCTCCTACATTTCCTGTCTTTGTAAATGGACACCATTATCCTATCCACTGGCAAGCAAAACCTTAGGAAGGAGTCACCTTCGATTTTACACCTCCTGTCCCATTCTGACATGAAATGTGTCAACGTTTTTTCAGCTCTACCTCCAAGTCTTGCATCCAAACCATCACATCCTCACTCCTGCAGCTTCCATCCTAGCTGTCCTCTCTCACCTAGACTTCTTTAAAGGTTCTGATTGGACTTATGCTCCACTGTTGCATCTGCCATACTCCATTCTCCACATAAGGGTAAACTCTTCAAAATTGAAATCAGATGGGATCTGAGTTTAGTGACTTCCCATTACACTAAAGTTCAAATTCCAGGCCTAGATAATCTGTCACTTGTCTCTCTCCTAAACTCATTTTTTACTTTTTACTCATGGCACACTAGTCACCTACTTTCACTCTTTTTTCTCAAATGTGCCAAGCATTTCCCTTTTCAAGCTTTTGCACTGTTTCTTTCTTCCCTGAGACCCCTGGGACTCCTCCCACTGGCTCCCTGGGAATATCCCTGGAGGTTTACATGATTAGCTCCTTCTCATATTTCTGAATTTGTGATTTCCTCAGAAAGGTCTTTGGTAATCTCCTAATCAAAATTCTAAATTAATTCCCCATTCCCAGCCCTCAATACTCCATTACTGTTCTACTTTCTCTGAAGTACTTTTCACTATGTGAATCTAGTTTATTGATTCAGTGTACTATCTACTTTGTTGTCTGTCTCTCCCTGCTTGAATATAAGCTCTTTGAAGGCAAATTATCATCTTTCATATTGTTCACTATTGAGTCCCAAGGACGGGGCACATGTTAAATGCTCAATACCTTTTCAAATGAATGAACAGCTCAGCATTAAAAAGTCATACACATGAAAACTTGGCCTTATGTCATATTCTCTCATAAGTTTAACAAACTAAAAACTTCTGATTTAGTAAATATGGGTAGGGTTGGGCATCCCCGGTGGCTCAGCGGTTAAGCCCTGGGCTGTGAAGCTGCCCGCAGCCTCTGCAGCGGGGGTTCGATCCCACATGGCGTGCAGACCTCTCCTGCCGCCCGCTGCTCCCCTCAGCAGTGTACTTCGGTCCTTCTGCCTGCTCTGCTCCCTGCTCTGGCTCTGGTGAATTCTCTCACCCTTCCACGCTTCTGACTGTATCCAGTGCTTGTATAAATAAATAAATAAATCTTTAAAAAAAAAAAAAAAAAGTAAATATGGGTGGGGTCCTAGAATTTTCATTTGAACAAATATCCCAGGAGATTCTGGGGCAGGGGTCCACAGACCATACTTCTTGAGAAACAGTGATTTATTCCTTCTTATAAACATTAGGTAGGTAGGTAGAAGTAAACTGTGGATTAGCAGAATTGCTAATTCTGCTAAAGTTCATGAGTCACCAAGTGAATTGTAAGAAGAAACAAGTCTAAAATGGCTAATCCTCACATAAATTAAACACACATAAATTATCCCAACTATATATGCTAGTCATACATTCTTTTTTTTTTTTTTTTTTTTTTTTTAATAGAGGCATGTTTTATTTATTTATTTGTTTGTTTGTTTGTTTTGTTTATACATGCACTGGGTACAGTCAGAAGCGCGGGAGGGTGAGAGAATTCACCAGAGCCAGAGCGGGGAGCAGAGCAGGCAGAAGGACCGAAGTACACTGCTGAGGGGAGCAGCGGGCGGCAGGAGAGGTCTGCGCGCCATGTGGGACCCTCCTCCGGTGGCCGGGGAGCAGCTGGGGATCGAACCGGCGCCGCAGAGGCCGCGGGCAGCTTCGCAACCCAGCGCTCAACCGCTGCGCCACCGGGGAGGCCCATTAGTCATACATTCTTAATTCTTCATCTCCATCATCAAAGCAAAGCCTAGGATCTTATAACTCCATTTGAGTGACTAAAATGAATTGTTCACATAGTACCAGAAATATTTGTTTAAGGAATCACCAGGAGAAAATGAGATCCTTGAAATGAGAATTAAAGAAAATGAAACCTTAGTTTTAAAAGTATACTGTGTGGGCCTCCCTGGTGGCACAAGGGGTTAAGCACTGTGAAGCAATCCGTAGCCTCTGCAAAATGAGTTTGATCCCTGGCTGGCCAGTGAGCAACCCACATGGCGAAACAGAGCTCTCCTGTCTCACCCACTGCTCCCCACAACAGTGTATTTCAGTCAGTCTGTCCTGTTTCCCACTCCAACTATGGTGAATCCTCTCACTGCCCCCCCCCCCACATCTCTGGCCTATACCCCAGCTCTTGTATGCATAAATAAATAAATCTTAAAAAAATAAAAGTATACTGTGTTTACAAAAGAGAAAGAATCAGAAATTGCTTTGAAGGAAGATTTGCCTTCCAAATTATCAGAATAGGTGGGATGTTTGAAGAGTAACTCCAGATGCCACTTTCTGATAGCATTATACCACGATGACAATGGGGGTAGATGTAGTTGGGGGTCATCAAATTAGACTCTTCTAACAATATATGCTAAATCTGACAAGGAATGCTGACTGTTAGTTGCACTAAGAATTTGGCAAAGTATGCTTACTGTCCACGAAATGACACTTTCAAACCCTACTTCTACAAAGAAAAACAATCTTTCTGGCCTTTTTCATCTTTTCAGAAATTTCAAATTTCAGAAATCAGAGCTTTTGATATGATCTGAGCAATGGGCTACCTTTACAGAGGCAGCACCTTGCCTAGCTCTGAATAGCAAATAAAGCACATATCAGATCTAAGATCTACCTTTATTAAAATACTGGTTAAATGTCAAAGTATTTCCAAATATCAACTCTGTCAATCCAATGCTCTTAATTCCTTGATTCCTCTCTATTCTTTATTTGCCAGTAAGACTTATTTTGAGCTAACCTTTAAGGATGAAAGAGCAGCACTGTCCAACAGAAATATAATGCAAATCATGAATGCAAGCCATGTAAATTTTCTAATAGCCATTTAGAAAAGTAAAAACAAATGAAATTAGTATTTTAACCCCCAAATTACTTAAGGACAGCAAAATGTTTATTTGAAAAAATTACTATGTATTGAAAATATACATTAGAAATTATTACATACTTCCAAAGCATTCCCCTCCCCCACCACAAAAGTAGAAATATCTGCTTGCTAGGCTAATGCCATAGGTAAACTCACACAAAAAGGAAAACATCATCAGCCCCCTTTTCATACATCAAGTTGGGGGGGAGGGAAGGTCAACTTATATCTGCCAATCAATAGGAATTTAACAAGTCCCAGTCTTCCACAGTGAGACACACGCATTTCTGCTTTGAAGACTGTGAAGAGTTACTCTGCTCCTTCTCTGGCTCCTCAAAAGCTCTCTTCTTGCTCCTCTTTGACTCCTGGCTTGAGACAGCTTCTCGTTTCAACAATGGCCCAAGGCAGTCTGGGGTTTTCTCCTTATAGAACTGAAGCTTCTCGGAAGAGTTTATGTGGGTGTCTGCCAGGGGACAGTTCACTGGGGCTTCTGTTCGAGCCCGTTTGCCATCTGTAAGAGTGACAGAGGGAAGGGCGGTAAGTTGACGTGTCAAAATTTTCTTCTTCCTTTTGAAGGCTGAATAACTTTGTATTGTATGTAAATACTATGTTTTGTTGAAAAAAATTAGTACATTTTATTTATCCATTCAACGGTCATGTCTACCTTTGGCTACTGTTATTTCATTTCTAATCTTTGTATTCTATCTGCTCTTGTGCCACTGCAAATCTTTTTTGAAACAAGAAAGGATACAAATAAATATATACACATATACATCTGACAAGTTATTTCCCTGTCACTGGGGCTCAAAAGCTAAGTGTGAACTTATTATAAATCTTGGTGATCTAATTTCCCACTGAGTAAAGACATGCTAGCTGGTTTACAGGTATAAATAACCTAAGGGCAAAACTCCAAGGGAAAGGGAACTTCTTACAGAAGTGCTGTGCTGCCTTCCGAGGCTCTGAAGTTTCTCGTGGCTTCATAGCTTCCAAAGTCACACGCTCCCACTGCAGAACAATCTGAAATATATTTGGAAAGATTTGAAACTGAACAAAATCTCAAGTCTTTAATCTCAAGACTTCCTGTTCCTTTTCCATAAACACTTGTAGTATAATCTTACCTCAGATGATTAATGATAAGAATGTGAACCAAGTCAACTCTGTTTTAATGTAGGAGTTGGTTTTAATGCAGGAGTTGGTCAGAATACAAACATGTTGGGTAAATGTATTTGCTTGATTCAGAAAAAAATCCATAAAGCTCACTCCCTACTTTCATCTCTATTCCAAGCTAGAAATAAATTGCATATCCTTAAACTAATACCAAAATTTAAAAATGAAGTCATACTATTCACATATTCCTAGATTCATTCTCAATGCCTTGAAATATATCAACTCTAACTCCAACTCATATATAGATATAAAAAATGACCACATTTCCATATTCTCACAAGTATCATGCTCAGTTTTCATTTTTTAAACTGTTAGAAATATATTTTCATTATAAGGTAAAACATTCTTTTGGAAATTTGGCTGAACATAAACTATATATTAATAAAATTATTATTTCACATATACCATGAGTAGTAAAAACTTTATAATATATGTATTTTTCATTATGGTATGCAGTGAAATAGTTATAAAAAAGTGAAAAAAATAGAGGCAATACAACAGAATTTAGGACTATGTTTTCAGAGTTAACCCCACCACTTACTTGCCTGGGCACCCTTGGCAAGTGATTCAATTTTGGGGTCTCAAGCTCTTCATCTGTAAAATGGGGATTAATAATAGTATCTACCCCACTGGGTTCTGGTGAGAATTAACTGAGATAACATGGAAAAAGATATAACATAGAGTCTGGCACACAGAAAGTATTCAACACATATTAGTTGTTATTTCTTCTGTGACACTTTCCTGATTATAGAAAAATCCCTCTAAGAGAATGCCAAGAGGGATTAACTGAATCTGGAGGCTCAGTGAACAAAAGAGAAACATATTTCTACTAACATTTTTCTACTGTATATTTCAATTTCCATATATATTTAATTTAATATATATTTAATATATTTAATATATATACATACATACACACACACATATATATGAAGAGCTGTTAGGGAACGAGGAAGAAGAAAATGAGTTTGGTTCTAGACAAGCTGAATTTGAAGTGCCAGATGGAGATTTTTGATACTGATATTTACAGGTCTAGAGTAGGAGAGAAAGTGGAATCAACTCTGGAGAACAGTTAAGGTTCTAAGAACAGCTAAGAACACTCAGAGTAAGTGGAGATATAGGAAGAAAAGAGAAAGTGAGAAATCACAAAAACTAGGGCAAAAAGTTAGCAAGTTAGGGGAGAGACAAAAAAGAAGCCCAAAGAGAAAAAGTATAGTATAATAAGGCTTGTACATTTATGTATCAATACCACAGAAAAACCAAAAAAGGTGAAGAAAGAGAGCAGTGGAGGCCAGAACTTGATTACAGGGCATTAAGAACTGAGTGGGCAACGAGAAGGTGGGAGATGTAAGAACAGAAAACAATTCACACTGCACTGGGCCACGGTGAACATGTCAGAATAAGAGTAACTTGAGTATTGAGTTTATACACAGAAAGGAGACAGCCAACAGAGAGCAAGACTGAAGACGAAATGGTGGAGCAGTAGAAGGTAAAAAAATCAGTTAAGTATTAGAGAAAGCTGGAGATTTAAAACAGAAGAAACCAAAGAGAACCAAAACAAACAAACAAAAATCTAAAGGGCTTATCATTGGAAGGAAGTGGAATACTTGTTTCCCTTTAGGAAGAGAAACAACATGGTTGAAGAAAGGGAGAAGTTTTGAGACAGCTCAGGAAGTAAGACAACTCCTGCTAGATGGCCTCACTTTTCTGTGCCATCTGCTTAGAATGAGAGCATGAGAATAAGGGAGCAGCACGAAAAGATGAAGCACTGCTGCCAAGCCTTTAGGACCTGGCTGAGCCTACATGGCCTGAATCTTCACTGAGTCCAATCAACTTGCTGTCAGGTCAGGGTGCTAGGTATTGTACTTCAACTGTACCAAATTCTGCAGAAGAGTTCATGGCTTCTGCACTGTATAGATGAAGAACAGAGACTCAAAGTTGCCTGATGTCCTAAGTTACTGGGCTGTTGCACCAGGATCTCAAACCCAGGTCTCTTTGACTCCACAGCCTTTGTATGACCACCTCACACCAGTCCCCAACCAGTGGATATATCTAGGATTTATGCAGTGCTACAAACTGTGCCTGGCAATGCACTGTAATTAATTCAGCACCCATTTGTGGACTAACTTCAAAGTACTTCTGAAACACTGACTCATCAGCATCTCTTCTTGCTTACCCATAGGTAGGTGATGCTACAATCAGGCAGATGGGTAGGTCCACTGACACATTACAGCTTGAAGCCAAACATGGAGTCATTAAAAAATGGTGAGTCTCTAGGCTTTACCAAGAAACAATGGCTTAAAATATCTGAAGGAGAAAGGCACCAGCCACAGGCAAGCTGGAACCTACTAGCGCTCTATCATTTGGTTCCCTCATGACTTCCTACTTAAGCCTGTACTTTACCAAACCAAGGAAACCAGTAAGATGAGAATTAAAGTTCAGTCAAGCTGTTAAAAACAAGAAGGTTCCATGAGAAAAAGACATCTCCCCACTAAAGATCTAAGAGGTAAGGAATTTGCCCCCAAAGCAGGGGAAGAGTTGAATTTGAATCCTTATCAGTGTGACTTATTCCCTTTCTCAATATACAGGCTGCTAATGAAATCTGTCCTTCTGAAGTTGGGTCAGATTTCACTTATTTCTCAGTCATTTATAAAATGGCTTTTTCTCCCAGGCCCAGGAAGACAAGGTACAATCTAGTGGCCAAAGGAGGAGATTTAAAGACCAATATCTAACACCTTTCCTAAAGCAGTTGCATCAGTTAGAGGGTATAAGCATCTGTGATTTGATATGAAAATGACAATTCAACCGAGGAATACCAAAAGGATTAATGCTTGTTCACAGTGTTGAATAAAATACTTGGAATTAAAATGAAAAGTTGTATTAACCAGAAGGAAGAAAGATCTCTATTACCTGGTCAGCCCAGCCCTCGGTCTTGCAGTTACTGTGATCAAATTCCTTCAAGGGCACTTTGGAATGAACGAGGCCTATGTGGGTCTGGAGCTTGTGTTTAACGGCCTTGATGTCCTAGGAAGGGAAAGACAACAGGAATGTGCGCAGAGTCTGGTCAACTCTTGCTTTCAGGAGGAAATAAACACCATCAACAAATACTAGCCCACTGTAAACACCAATTAGCAGAAGGAAAATATCAAATTGTGAGTTTAAAAAAAACAGAAGAGAGAAAAGTCTTACCTTGAGCCCAGTCCCAGAAATATCTAAGCAGTTTAGTTTTCTGAAAGAAAAGAGGTATCCAATTCCTGCATCTGTGATTTCAGGGTTACCTAGGTGTTAAAAATGTAGGCAGTATTCTGTTATAGTATAATTACTGCTAAATGTCAACAATAAGCTCATACAAAAAGTCAAACAATGATAAAATATAAAATATTGAGTAAAGTTTTCAAGGTAAAGTAAATACAGAGATCTTATCCTTCCTGCATGTAATATGAAGGAGCCACACTAATGACCCTTAAGGTCCTTTATAGCTCTAACTTTCTAGGAGCTGGGGGTGGGGTTGGGGGGTGGGAGATGTGAGCAGAAAGCCAACGAAGCAGGTAGTTATTGCAAAGAATTTAATCTGGGATACACATAAGCATATTTTAAAATGGTTCATCAGACCTTCAGTTGTTCATGGCCATTTCACCTCCAAATTAAAAAGATTTCTTTAGAGGAAAAAAGGATTTTTTTTAAAGGGTACACAAAGAAACTATTACTACTCTTACTAATTTGCATCAATTTTCAGAATCCTTTTCTCACATTATTACCTTCTTATATCAGAGAGCACTGAGTCCTCCAGATCATGAGCACAGTGCCTGACACACAGCAGGTGCTCAAAAACATTTATTGAATGAATATGCTTCACTGGGAGGGAGGAAATTCATAATCATAATTTTATAGAGGCTATACCAAGGCTCACAAAGGTCAAAAAACTTGCTCAAGGCATACAGCTTGCAAGTAAAAGTAGCAGAGCAAGGAGTATCCCCTGACCTCAAACCCCTGCTCCTCCTGTTCTTTTGACACATGTCATCCTATCATATACTCAATTTAATGCTCAGTTAAATCATCAATGAGCTCTATTAACTTTCTAACACTGGAGTCAACAAGCGGTTAGTCGTGACATCATCCAATTGCAGATCATTCAGATTTTCATAAAATAAATGATGATTAAAAGAAAAGGAAAAAAAAAAAAAACCTGTCTGACAGACACTATGGACCAGCAATTAAAAGAGAGCAAAGATGAGCCAAATGCCCTTTATATATGCATTGACACAATAAAAGGCTGCCCTGTGCAGAATGAGTGGTATGGATGAATCTAAGGGCTTCTCCTACCCTAAAGAGGTGGCAGCATGCCAGGAAAGGTACTTGGCCAGGAGTGAAGAGTCTCCAGCTTTCGTCCTGTCTGCCACTGATTTGTGGCACCTAAGAAAGTTAGTTACCTCTCAATTTCATCATCACCCAAATGAAAAAGAATTATTAAAGGATTTCTAAGGCCATTCTTCCAACATTAGTAATCTATAATTCCTAATAAAACTTACAAGATAAGTCTAATAATGTTAGATTTTCAAGGCCTCTTTTCATCACTCGAACTGGTGCTGTCATTTTCCGTACCCCGGCATCAGATAAACAATTATCCTTCAGGTGAAGCTGAGTTACACTACGGAAACAAAGTCCATAAATAAATTACTTAGAGTTTGAGAAAGTCTAAGTATGAGAACATGCTTTCATAAATTTCATTAAGAAACAAAATATTCTCCACCCCTTACTTCATACCCAAAGTATTTGACAGAGTTAAAGCTCTTTTGTTGCTATTTCAGTTACCAAGTAGGGGTTAATTAAGGGATCAAAGTGTCATGTAGTACTAATCTCAGGTGGCAGAGGGCACTAAAGGTATATGGTCAAATGAAGTAAACAAAGACTTCATTAAGAGGGAAAATATACCTTATTTAATATAAAAGCTGCATGTCTGACAAATCCTGTGTGAAAACCAAAAAACACTGTCAGCAAAGTCTGCTAAAGAACTCCTTTGAGAATTTTTGCAAAGCATATAATCCTCTAATTTTAACCAGCCTTATAAATCTTTGATTTTTAGACTGCGTTTTTAGCTACACCCATAACCCAATCTATCCAGCTAACCTGAAATTGCACCATTAAAGTCCCACTGTCCCACACATAAGAAATCTAAATCTTTACTAACATCAATCAAAAATACTTTTGTACAGGGCAGTGTGTAGGTATCGCTGTCCAAAGCAGGCCCCAGGCAGCAGGCAGGACTCAGGTTTGTAATATGTTATCCTTCTTGGGTTTATGAAACCACAAAGGAATCTATCTGGCCTCCTCTCTGCTGGCCAGACTGCATAAACACCATTTGTGAATGGTAGAAACTGAACTATTTAAATTATGTTTCTTTGAAAAGGATTTGTCTTAAATAGCTCACTTTAGAATTTATAGTTCACTGATAGTTAAAAAACAGTAATTGTAGAAAACTGCACAACTTCTCATCTCTTACTAGAATAAACCAGACTGGATAAAAGCTTTTTTCCCAACCCAGAAAGTTGTGGGTATCATGTGCTGAAATAAAGATTATTTAGAAAAATAACCAACCGACTTTTTTCCTAAGAGTTGCCCAAACTATACTGCTTATACCAGGTAAATGAAGATTGAAAATATTTTAGAAAAAAGAAATTAGCAAATACAGGACTGGGAAGTAATCGGCATTATTCAAGATGATCCAGTTAGATCATCCTGTAAAAAAGATAACACAACAATCCATCTGCAGGTGGTTGCAGGTCAATACCTAGACAGGGCCTCATTGGTGAGATGTTCTAGAAGTTCATGCTCATCTCCAAGTTTGCAACAGGAAAGATCCAGGCAGGTCAGCTCTCGGAAAGACTTAATCTCCTCAAGTTTTTCTGAAATCACCAGATATCTGTGGGGTGTGGAAAGCAATCAACAGCTTTTCTTTTCCTTCTTTTAAAACATTACCTGTTGTGACTTTATGCCACAATCAACATTCCATTAGGAAAGGTACTATGCAATAAGCAGACTTCACAGATTATTATATAGGCACAGACTCAATTTTTTAATTAGTGAATGCCTTGCAAGTCTTTTGTATGACAGTATAATAAAAACCGCAAATAAATAAAAATGTATGAGGAAATGCAAATAAAAAACAACATCTGCTTTGTTAGAAGGTAGAGAGACCTAAACGTCAGTGTTTGGGTCTTACTGGATAATTTGCAAACTTTAGGGTCTTCAAAATCTTAAGCATTCTTTTAAGGTTGCTTTTTATTTAACGCTTATTATCTAGTGGTTTGAAAACTGGGCTAAGAACTCTGGCCCCCACATCCCCAAGAACATAGGCGAGGCATCTGGTAGACCACACTTTATCTTTTCTATTCAAACACAAGTTTGAGCAGCCTCCCGTTCCACTGTGCCTGTTACCCTGCTAAATTCACACCAACAGTAAGTGCAGCATGTCTACTACAAGGACCCACTCTGATCTACATGGTGATTAAGACAAACCTGTTAGCAGAACAACTTAATTATACTGGAGCACCTTGCCAAGCGGTTATCAAGGAGCATCAGGGAGGCTTCTGGAGATGAAAAGGACATCAAAAAGGCATTCCACAGCCCAGGTTGGCCTCCACCCTGTTTTTTACTTATTCATCTATTTCACATGACATCAGTTAGAAAAACACAAAGGCTGCAAAAGGTGTGACAAGAAACAAAGAGCAAAGGATCCCAAGTGAACAGGGAATGTAAACAATGGCAAGAGCATGCCTTTCTCATCCACTTTCCTCATGGATGTCTAGAAGTTTCCACAGTAAAATGGTATTCAAGGATCAGTGGGATTATACCTAAAAGCATTCACCTCTCTTCTGCCAGCAGAATCATAACTACTGAAAACAGGAAGGAGTAATCTCAGAGTAAGAGGGTGTTAGCTCTCTTTTCCAACCCAAGTAAGATGCACTAAAGCTCATCACTGGCCTGACAGCTAGGTACAGATGGCCTGGGGCACTGACACCTCTCTAAGCTGTCTGGTGACTGAGCTCAGCTGGGTATACAAATGAGCCCTATTTACTCAGACGTATTTTAATTGCACTATAAATAAAGCTGCTGTTTTCCATCTTCCAATCAGAGAGTTGAAGTGGGTTAATAGGGATTTGGGGGATTACTGGCAATCAGAGAAAAGAAAGCACATCCTTTGATCAATTAACCAAAGATTTTTAGAAATTCTCAAACAAGGGTTATCTGTGAAGGACACAACAATGTATAATCTAATTAACAAACACTACAAAAATCAAGTCTGAAAACCAGTATGCAAAGTCACAGATGCTAGCTAGCAGACACTTATCTAGGACATAATTAAAGCTCTATGGTCTTGCTAGCAAATAGTCTTCCAAGTTGCCCCTTAAAGTCCAGGATAGTGTAGTAGAGAAGCAATAAAGAGCAGAGATAAATTTTAGTGTTAGACTGGTGTTTGAATTTTAACAGTTCTATTATTTGTGAAACTGTGAGAAAGTTACTAAACTTTTCTGAGTCTCAACTTCTCCAGCTATAAAATGAGACTGATAATTATTTTTTTCAGGGTTAAGAAATTTACAAACATTTTTCCAGAAGTACATCACATCTTATGGACCCTCATTAAATGGTAGCTATTATAATTACTTCAATTACACAGGGTGATATTTTAAAACATACTTGCCTCTCTGCAGCCCGCAGTACCATTAAACATCACTGGGATTTCAACACAGGGAGTAGACTCTTTTGTAGGAGTGGAACTTAATTGCAAAGACACTGGCTTCTCCTTCTAACAGGCAGCTTTGTGACCCAAACCCAAGACGACAAGAGTCTGTAACTACTCAATTCTTATTTTTTCAATTGTTTTTTTCAAGCTCATTCCCTTTTGTGCTGGTAAAACCTTTGCTACTGTAGCTTCAACCCTGGGATACAATAGCAAACCCAAATCTGTCTTCTTCCAGTTCTCTTTTGGGGATTCAATAAGAGAGAAAGTTTTTAATCACAATTGGAAATCTTAGGCTTATATCTAAGTAAGACTGCAGTGTGGAATTGTTACAACAAAATATGAGCCAAAAGATTTCTTATATTTCCCGTAAATAGTTTCTTACATTTTTCTGACTATAAACTACATGCTCTGGGCCTCCCTGGTGGTGCGGGGGGTTAGACACTGCACTATGAAGCAATGCGACAATCTGAAGCTTCTGCAGCATGAGTTCAATCCCCAGCCCGCCACCACGAAGCAACCCACATGGCGAGGCAGATCTCTCCTGTCTTGCCTGCTGCTCCCCTTATCAGTTTATTTCAGTCAGTCCACCTGTTCTGTTCCCCACTGTGTCTCTGGTGAATCCTCTCATCCCCCCCCCACATCTCTGGCCTGTGCCCAGGTTCTTGTATGCATAAATAAATAAATCTTAAAAAAAAAAAAAAAAAAAAACTGCATGCTCCTCAAAGAGTTAACAAAATAAGGAAAATTATACAGAAAATTAAAACCTGATCCAACCCCACCATTTAGATCACATTTCAGTGGGTTTGTTTTTTTCTTTCTATATATAATATATATATATAAATCCCGTTTTCAGACATTAAGATCATACAGTAGATGTAATTTTAGTTACTTAATTCATTTATTATACAATGAACATTTCCCATTTTAAATGACCTTGGAATATTATCTAAATCATTATATATTTTACCATATGAAAGTGCCACAATTTGCTTAACCAATTTCCTATTTTTTGACACTCTGTTTTTAGATTTTCACTATTTTAAACAGTACTATAATGAACACTATTATGTAAAAATATTTGTTCCTACATCTTATCATTAAATTAGAAATCAGAATAGATTCTTACATAGAACTAGTGGATCAAACAAACAGTATGGATGTTTTAAGACTCTTGATACATAGTTCCTAGCCGCTTTTCAAAAATGCTACACTAATTAGTATCTTTGCCAAATGCAAATGATAATGCTATTCTCATCTAATGGATGAGCTATCTGACCAATGGAACAATGTGCAAAAAGCACAAATGGATAAAAAGCACTGCTGATACCATGATACATAAGATATAATGGCAGATGGGGAAAAACATATAACAACTTATTGACAGTATATCTGAAAATTATTACTATGAATGGTTTAATATTAGTTTTATGTTTCCCCCCAAAATATGTTGCCTTTATAATTTTAAAACAAAGGTATGCACCATAATTCTACCTTTCATTGTTCTAATCTTTTCTTAATGAACATAAATAACTTGGAATAAAAGTGAAGTAAAATGTATTTTTTAAATGTGTGAGTTACAATGCAGAATTACTTAACTTTTTCATTTAGGCAAGGTAATTCTTTTTTTCTTTTCTGCTGGTGGCAACCCCAGACGCACAAAAATCATAGCACAGAAACAAAGCATTCACAAGGTGCCCACTCAGTTCACAAGTCCATGGTTCTATTCTTGACCACATGCATTCATGTTTTCTTTTTAAAGTACAATATTTGGCCTGGGATGAGATCACTTATTCTATGAACTGATTAAATAAAAACTGCTTCTTTATCTTTTTTTAAGCATATGCACTTAACTCATGCTTTCTGGCAAGACTTCTTTTTTCATTACATATTGATTTGTTTAGGTTTGGTTGGATGATAATATTAATTAATTGTACATCTTAACAGCAAGCTGCCTTTTCACCAAAGAGTTCAGGTAATGGCATACTATACAGCTATTTTAAAAATCTGCAGAAGTAATGAGTAAATGATTTTTAAAATATGTGAAGAAAACAAGGTATAATATAGTGAAAGTATTATCATTTGCATAACAAAGGGAAGAGTTATATCTGTATGTATGTATGTATGTATGTACAGAATAGCCCCAGAATGTCAAAAGAAACTTAACAGTAGCAGTTGCCTTAAAGAGAAGAAATAGATGGGGTAGGAGGGAGATTTATGTTTTACTTTATAACATTTTGTGTTTGCATCATTGCAGAATTAAAAACCTTAAATCAATCAAAGTACCTGAGCAAGGTAAAGTCACAAGAGAAAACATTCACTTTGTTAGAAAAACAGGCCTTGTTGTCAGTTATAGGACCTTAATTTGAGAATTTCCAAACTTCAGGATACTCAAAATCTTAATCATTCTCTTAAGGTTGCCTTTTATCTAGTGCTCAATACACTTAGTGGTCTGAAAAATGGAACAGGACTGGGAACTCTGGCTACTAATTTTCATAATCCCAAGAACATACCAAAAGGTAACTGGCAGATCACATCTTGATTTTTCTTTTTTTTTTTTTTTCCTTACTAGAAAAGTAGGTAGAAGAGTATATTCTACTTAAAGGAGGAGCTGTGGGAATTAACTAATTCTTATACAGTGTCCTCAAAATAAAGCTAAGTGTTGTCTGGGAGTGGAAGACAGACTAATATTTCTCAAAATGGCCCACTACTTCGTGTTCTGAAGTTTTCATTGAAGTGCTATTTGATGGGGGCAGTGACCAAGTCCACTAAACCCCAGAGCTTGACTGAATTAATGAACCCAATAAAATACTCAGTATCCTAATGAGAACACCCACCTGTTTCGCAAGCACAGAGAGCAAAGCACCAGACTTCCATAGGCCTCAGTGAATTTCTGTAAAGCCCTCAGCCCTGCACCTGGCTCTGTGAATTTCTGTCTGGCTTCAGCAGCAGAGAACAGCTTTTCCGCAATCTGCTCAGGAAAGCCAATAAGGGAATCAATGTGATCAACATTGTCGGAGATGAAGCCCAGGACGAGGCTGAAGAGGGATTTGGCAGAGTACCGAAGATTCCCCTCCCGTGTGTATGTGAAGATGAAATGATCAGTCTTCTCTTTCTGTGCAGTATCATCTTCCCTGTTCATGCAAAGCTCAACAGAAAAGCCTTTGGGAAACAGTCTGAAAGGCCTTGGCTTCTGCAGACTACTCCTGACACCATCCAAGGCCAGATTGACCATGTGCAACTGCCCATTTTCTCGCACGTAGATGGGTCCTGGGTCTAGGTGATTTTCAGAGTTGAGGTAGTAAGACATTGCCTTGGTTGCAACTGTAAAAGCAAGACACAGGGAAGCAAATGGAATTAAAATGCCATTTGTAACATACAACTTCATCTTGCTGTACCCAGAGCTTTGTCTACCAGGCAGACCATGGCTATGGATGGCTGGTTTGGGAATATATAACTTAACAGCTGCCTGTGAACTCTGGCACTGGAGGATGCCCTGTCCTATACTCTCCCTTTCTGGTCTATCTGGTGAGCTCCTACTATTCCTCTTTCAAAAGTCAGCTCAAATTTCATTTCTAAAATTCATGCTCAGGAAGTTATCACAGAAGGGGGCATAGAGTCATCTACAAAGAAAGTCATGGCAGCACAGTTGATATAAGCAAAACAATCAGAAATCACCTAAACATCCAATGACAAGAATGTTATTAGTAAATTATGATAGACCCATATAATAGAATGTTATGCAGTCATCAAAAATACTTTTTTTTTAATTTGCAAGTCACAAACAATATTGAATTACTCTGTTTTTAAAAACATGTTTACACATAAAACAAAGACTGGAAATTAACAATTTTCTTGCTACCTTGGTATCTTTCATTGGCTTCTTTGTTGCATTTGGTTCATTGTTTTGAGCCTTGAGAGGAAGATGAATGTTTAATTCATCCAGACTCCCTAACATAGAACTCTGGCATTAATACTGACATACCTCATTTTATTTCATTTCACTTTATTGTTCTCTGCAGATACTGAATTTTATAAAAACCAAATTTTAAATTTGGAGCAACCCTGTGTCAAGCAAGTCTTCTCGTGCCATTTTTCCAACAGAATGTGCAACTCCATGTCTCTGTCACATTTAATTAAGGTATGTACACATTGTTTTTAGAGAGACTGCTACTGCACACTTAACAGACCAGAGTATCAATGTAACTTCTATATGCACTGGGAAAGCAAAAAATTTGTGTCTCGCTTTATTACAATATTCACTTTATTGCTGTGGTCTGGAAGGTACGCCAGCACTATTTCTGAGGCATGCCTTATAGTCGATGAGCAGATTATTTGTAGGACTTAAAGTTTACAAGCAACAGAGGTTTTCGGATCTACAAATAAAGACCTCTATCACACTAGCCAAATGAAAGCTATTAACGCTTAGAAAAATAGTATCTATTAGGGCTCTCCTAGGGCAATTTTGAGGTAAAGCAAAATATCAAAAACAGTTGGGTATTTATACAATCATGTGGGTGACATTTTGTGTCCACCCACTAACTGGAATAGTTGTTTTCTTAAGCTACTGTGAGATTTCAAAATATACTAAGATAAGTTTTATGTTAAATGAAAGTATTTGATGAATGTTTCTACAGTTTAACAGAATGTCAACAGGTTCAAAAAAAAAAAAAATCTCTATTAAGACAGACTTTTAGAGTGAACCAACCCAGCTCTTCTACATCAATACAGAGTTGGGTGTAGCTCTGATGCCATTTAAAAGTGTCAGCAAACAATCAAGTCAGTGATCAAAAATGCTGAGTCTCTAGAGATCAAACAGTGATCCTGTTTGTGGGCACCGGTACTATCCATGTTTCTCTGGAGGATAATTATGTGTGTAAAAACACATCAGAAAAGAGGGCCCTGCCTTCCCGGAGTGCCTCACCCTTTCTGGTTTATGTCCTTGTGACCTACACTCTGCCCAAGTCATACCAGTCTGGATAAGTTAGCTGAGCGCGCTGGTCCCACTGCCCTTTGCCCATTCTGCTAACTTTGGCTTGAACATCATTCTCTGCTTCCTTGACCAAGCTAATTCTTACTCATCATTAACACTCAGCTTACCCACCATCCCACCCCAAGCCCCTGTACTGTGCGTACCCATCTGGTTTTCCCAGAGTACTGGCGTATCCTTCTACACAGTACTTCAATAGTATACTATCTCTGTTCACTTGTTCCAGGGCTGTGACCTTTTTGAAGGGAAGGCACTTACTTGATTCTCTCTCTTTCCCAGGCCCAACACAATGCTGAATAAGCCCTCAACAGGTATTTGCTGATCTGAATGAGAGGAAGGGTCAGATCTCATAAGGACAGAGTTAGTGCTCTGAGCTGCAGGGCCTGCTGAAACTGTTGCTAGGAGTCAGTGCCTCTTCCAGGCAACAGCTGCAGGATCCTCCCCCTGACTTGCCAGACCCTTCTGCAGGTGGCAGAAGCAAATCAGACTACAGGAGTCTATAGCTACTGGTACTACTGGGAACAAATCTACAAACCAGATAAAATTTCCTGTCACAGTGCCATCTCTTCTACCCCATATTCTTGCCAGTATTCAATGCCTGCTGCTAAGGAGATGCCTCATTTATTTTCTAAGCTTTTCTTCCAGTAAGGGTAAGCATCTGGTCCCTTTAACTTCAGTCAAGCAGACTGCCTTTGGTTTTTAATCCTGTGATTGGATATTCTGAGCCCTGGTCTACCTACAAATTACCAAGCCTGCCTCTAAAAAGGAATGGTTTTAATAGCAGAAAGGCAAATTCTGTGGGAGATAACATAATAGGTCAGTATACTATACACTCCCAGATACTGAAAAAGGGTCTGCCCAACCTATATTACCCCTAACCCTCACTTCCAAAAATGCCTTCTACAAACTCTGGAGTAAAATGGACCAATGGATGAATGGATGACCACTTTGGGAGAGATGAGAAAAGTCTGATTCTGTCCAGCAGAGGGCACAAGCAGCTGTTAACGATGCCAACCCAGCCTGCCCAAAATCCTCACAGCTTTTGTGTCCAAGGAACATCTTATTTTACCTTTAAATTACTCATCAAATGCCAATTCTCTTTCTAAATGGGAAAAAAAAATCTGTATTTTCCAAAGAGTAAGCCCACATATTTTGTTCAGAAGCCCCAAGGCCTCTCTGTTCTTCAATTATGGTCCTCGAGGAACTGACCTTGGTTCTGGGAATCCTGGTGACCTATGAGTTCTAATAATAAAATTGTGTCTTCCAAAAATGAGCATCCTGAGAGTTTGTGTTATACTATAAACTGATTCAATAAATTAATGCTTAAACTTGTCAAGGTAAATTAATTAAAATAAATAAAAATAAAACAGTGGGAAAAAATAAACTTGTCAAAGTAAAGAAACATAAATACAGACAGAATTTCACACAATGCTTCTGTACTTGGCTCTGATTGTGCATGCTGTTCTACAGAGTGGCCTAACATAAATGGACACCCTCAGGAGACGGGGTTTGTACTATCCCAAGGCAAAACCCCACACAAACTGGACAATTAATTAGTTCCTATAAGAGTAACAATGTCCAGTGTAGCTATGCATAGATAGATTTTATATCAACAGAGTAACAGGGGCATTTGATACTTTCCCAGTCCTCTACAGAAAGGCAGTTTTGCAACCCATACAATATCACAGAAAAATACAATAGTGCATATCTTACTATTTGCTTACCACAATAAAATATAAAATATAACCATACCACACTAAAAACTCAGGTCCCTATAGACTCTTGAATAAAAGGCAAAATAAAATGATTAATAACTAAATATGACAGTCTTTTTTAAGAGCCTGCAGCTACTTTACTAAGCAAAAAGCATGACTATTCGACTGAGAGGTAGGCGACAGGATTAAAACTGTGAGTTGAATCTATGGCTCTCTAATTTCAAGACAAAGAGAACACCTAACTTTAGTAGGTAAAGTTAACAATTCCCTAAAAATAATATATCACAGAGATCATAGTGGATGTGAGAGCTACCATCCATTAAGCACCTGCCAGCTGCCAAGCCCTGTGCTAGGTACATTATAAAATGATCTCATGTAATGCTCAACAATCTTATAAGGTCAGGACTGCCACCTAACAGAAGAGGAGGCTCAGGGAGCAAAGTAACATAGAGAAGAAACAGAGTAAGTGGCAAAGCTGAAAACAATCTCAAGGCTGTATTACTCTAAAGCGCAAGCTCTTTACGCTACATGGTGCTGTCTCAAGAATAAAAATATGACCTCAGTCTCAAGGATTAAAAAAAAAAAATCTTAAAAATTAATCTCACCCACCTGTTTGATCCCTCTGGAATTCTCTGGCTCAAGCTAGGGGGTGGGCAGGGAAGAGGAAAAAAAAAAAGTGGACAAGGTTGGTGGGAACAGAGCCAGGACTGGGCTTGAGGCCTGCCATCTTTACTAGGCCAGCGCAGAAATTACCCACATACACACACCAGAAAAACAACTGTCAATCTTAGGTCTTCAATCCAAGGATGCAGTCACCCTTAGTTTATTTCAAAATGCAGTATTCTTGGGGAAATTTCTAACATAAAAACCTGAACAGAAATTAATTCCAAACCATCAATAACCAATTTAGGATTTATCTTCATTGTTCCACGTCACTACCATTAGTTCTCAATTTTTAACTCTTCTCATTATTCTTTTTTCTTGTAACTTGCACTCTCCCACCTGCCTTCTTATCCACACTGTTTCCTTTCCCAAGCTCGAGGGGTTCACACCATACCCAGCTTCCTACTTTCCTCCCAAGAACAAGCCAATCTCTCCAACCCTTTCATACTCGTAAGACTTTTTCTACCTTCCAACTCTCCAGCTTCTCACAAAAAAATCCAATTTCCACACCCAAAATCCTAACCCCACCTCCCATCGACTCCCAGCTCCTCTGGCCCCACCTCTCAGCCCTCTAGTCCTTCCAATTCTTCCACGTCTATTTTTGAAATACGGTTTTCTCCCCCAGACCCAACCCCACCTCCACCTGCCTCCTCTTCCCCACCGTCCCCACCCCCCGCATCAAGCAGCCAGGCACTCCCCCCTGTCCTTCACCGTGTATCCTGGCTCCCCATCTCTGGGATCCCCTTTCCGAGACCCCAATATCCATCTCTTTCTTCTGGCCTCAACCTTCAAAATTCCCTTCCTTCAAGCTTCCTTACGGCCAACTTCACAACACGTAGCCTCAACTTCTTTCTTCCCTACCCCCAAGACCGCACCCCTTCTTTTACGCTAGTCCTAGAACCCTTCCTCTTTGCACACCTCAAATCCCATTCCCTCCCCCTCTCCCCCCTGCAATTCTCCATTCCTCTTTCAATTCCCACGCATGACCCTCCTCGAGACTCCCCAAGTTAATCCTGCTCCCTTCTCCCTTCTCCCACCCTGGCTCCCAGCCCCAAGTCTCGCAGCCCCCCACACCCTACCCCAGCCCACCTCTACACCCACCTCCACACCCCCAGATCCGCATCCTCACGCCTCTCGCAACCCCACCACACCCAGTCCCTCCAGAGCTCCCCTCCCCACTCCCCCCACACGCAGCCCCGGGCTCAGCGAGGGGCTCGGCGAGCCGCCCGGCCGCGGCCGCCACCTACCTGTACCCCTGCCCCGGGCAGCGAGCGGCAGCTCCTCGGTGTCGGCTCCCTCCTCCCGCGGCGCGGCTGACGGAGGGAAGCGGCACGGCGTCCCGGGCACAAAGCTAGGGAGGGTGGGTCAGAGCGAGGATGGGAGGAGGAGGGAGGGGCAGGGGCGACCCGGCGCCGAGAGACCGCGGGGCTGACGGGGGCGGGGGCGAAGGCTGGGCAGGGGAGACGCGCGTGCGCGGGCCCCGGCATGAGGGGCGGGGCTGGCTGGGAGGCGGGCTCGGCCCGGGGCGAGCGACCTGAGGGCGGAGGGCTCGGGTCCCGGGGGGCGGGGCCTGCGCGTGCGCGCTCGCGCGAGTCTCCTCGGTCCTGCGGGGCCTTGCGGGGTCCTGCGGGGCCCTGCGGGGCCGGGGGAGGACGGTGGGCGCGAGCTCAGGTGCTGGCTCGGGGACCAGCCCTCGGGCGGCGCTGTGCAGCTCAGCCCGCGAAGTAATGAAGGGCCCCTGAGGGGATCCGAGGGTCGGGCCAGCGGGCAGGGTGGAGCCAAGAGCGGGGCCGTCTGGGGGAGTCGTGGGGAGGGGCGGGGCTGCGGGCGAGGAGCGTGGCGCGGGCCGCGGCGGGCGGGGCCGTGGCCGGGTGGCGAGCAGCGCGGGGAGGGGAGAGAGCGCGTTCGGGAACTCGGAGGCGGTGGGGGGGGCGGGGCGCGTGAACGGGGAGCTGGGAGTGGAGACGCGCGCGCGCCGGGGAACTCGGTGAAGGGCGCGGGGCGGGGCCGGGGGCCGGGGCGCGCGGCGCAGGCGCGGGCGGGAAGGGGCTTGCGGGCCGAGCGGAGAGGAGAGAGGTGCGCGCGCCCGGGAGCTCCGCGCCGGGGCGGGACTGGGGGCGGCGCGCGCTGGGCGGGGCGGCTGGGCGAGCTCGAGGCCGGACCTTCGGGGCGCCTGGAGCTAACGGGAGGCCCAGGCGAGCGGGCGGCGGGGCGGGGGAGGTGGGAGCTGGGCTCGGCCGGTGGAGGCCGACGGAGGGGAGGTCGCTGGTGGCGAAGCGGGCCAGCGCGGGGGGAAAGGGGGGGAGTCTGAGGGGACGCGCGGCCGGGGGGCGGCTCGTGAGGGGACGGGGGGGGGCTAGTGTGAAGCGCATCATTTCGCCCCTCGTGACCCTAGAGACACTGATGCCCCCCCACGAACTCTTGAGGCCTTAAATAATGTTTTGACCCCCCCCAATAGTGAAAACAGTTGAAAACCGAAATTAATTTACCAGAATGTAACCTATTAATTACAGCGTAACTCACACAGTTATGAATTGTACTGAATGTAGGATGTGGCCTCTTTTAAACATTTTATATAATTTGGGGCGGGGCCTCCGGAAGCCTGTGAATTAAAATGGCCTTGGACTGAGGAGAAAGATGCGGGGTGGAGGGGAGACGGTGTGTCGGGGCTGGTTTGCTTTTCCAGAGAGACCAAGCTCTAGGAGACAGCCTGGACCGAATTCTAATACTACAGTTCCCGAAAGATGCTGGTAGGGGAGAGGATTTGAGGAGTCCGGTTGTAAGACTACCAAACCAGGGGGGCTGGGTCAGTGAGCGAGGAAGTGAATTGGAGGCTGGCTAGGAACAGGTTTCTGAAGGAAGGACCAGAAAGGGCGTGCGAACTGGATGGAGGTGAAAGGATAGTTTAAGTGGCCCTGAGGCTTTGGGGGCTGTCTAATCAGGGATCTTTAAACAAGCAAAGGCTGGCACACCAGAGTGCTCGCTTTGATAACTGAGGCCCTGAGGGAATAATGCTTTATATACAGCAAAAGTGGGGAATTAGGACTAAATCCCAAACCTGCACTTCGGAGTTGTAGAATCAACATATATGCTCAGTAATTCCATTTGGGGGAGGGGGGTAAGCAGGGAGGGGCTTGGTTTGCCTTTTTCTCATTAACCACACCCAAAGAACCTTAAGGAGGGCCCAACTCTGACCATTTCTTCTTGCACAATTTATTGTAACACAGGAAATAGGTGAGATATAGGTGATATGAAATTAGTTTTGTATTAAAGTATGTGTTTTCTTCTCTCAGACAACTTAGGTGATAAAAGATGTGAAGTAAGAAAAGAACTGAACATTTTGGAGTTACGTTTTCTCTTATTCTGCTACATCAATGCTAGATACATTTCCCTAAAATATACTTATTTTTTAAGTAAGTTCACTAAGTTAGTCAACAATCCGCACGTTTCCACCCCCGAGTAAATCACCGCGTTTTGCCACTTCTGCATTATTCCATATTTAAGGCCAGATAATTACTTGTACATGTCCTGTGATGATGGGAAAGGTGGGATGTTTTACAATATTGTGAAATGTACCATGTCCCGAGGAGTTGTGACAGTCCAAACTCTCCAAACACTGTTACTCTCTGTGTGGCAAAGTCACCCCCAGTCCAGTTGAAAACCAGTGGACAACAGGATAAAGTCATAAAGCCCATTGTCTTTAGTCTCAATTTCCAGAGACTTCATTTTTAGTTCCTATTCTACTTTTCACAGAATTGATTCCATTTAAAAGAACCTACCTCAGTAATCCTTTCTTTAGCTTCCTCACTAGGCTATCATCTATACTTCTTGGATACGTTCAGAGATGGAAAAGATTTAGACTGCTAAGTCTTGTGTTTATGATGTCTATCTTAAGATTTATATATGAAGTCCAGTTCTTTCTCCTCCTGAAGTTGTAAAAGAAAAATTCTAGTACTTTTTCCATTCTATGGAAATATTTCCATTTCCAAGTATTTGTGGATGTTAAAGTGTGAATGTGATATTGAAAATTGTAGTCCAGTTTCTCCCACTGAATTGTCTCAAAATAATTTACCTCTTATTCTTTCAGCTTCCTCCACATATAATAGCTGTTTATATGTGATCATGAAATCTGCTCTCCTATGAACAATAATCAAGCCCAAAAATATCCTACATAAACTATGCTACCCAGAACTGAGCAAGTATTCGGGATATGTGTCACACTAATAGCACATAACATTACATTATGCTTGTCCATATTCCTTGTCTCTGAGCTTCAAGGCAAAAACCAAGTCTTAGTCATCATAGGTTGTAGTCATCTTTTATTACAAGCACTGTACCCGCCCTTACCTGGTTTTTAAAAATTTTGATAAAATGTAGCTCCTCAAACTCTTAAGATTACATTCTTTTACATTTGGGAGCAGATATTTTATACCCTTCCTTTATAAGCAAGCAGACCTGTACATTTTATACTATCTAGATCAAGCATTGGCAAATTATCTGTAAAGGGTCAAATAATTACTTTAGGCGTTGTGAGAGGTATAATCACAGCTACTCAACTCTCACTATAGCACAAAACTAGCCATAGGCAACATGTAAATAAATGTCTGGCCATTTCCACTAAAAATATTCATGGACATTGAAGTGTGAATTTCATATTTGTGTCAAAAATTATTTTGATTTTTAAAAATATTTTAAAACATAAAAAGCAGTCTTAGCTTGTGGGGCATATAGAAATATGAGGCAAGCTGGATTTAGCTCACAAGCTATAGTTTGCAAACCCCTAATGTAACTCAGTCTTTCTGTGATTGATTTTTAAAGTCTGAGTATACACTATACAAGGATATCATTATCTTTATTAAATACCTCGTTCATTACACCCTGTCTTTCTAGCTTGCTCTCAACTCTTTTAGTGAGCTAATTCTCTCTTCTAGCATGACATTCCAGCTTTTGTTGACTGCAAAATAATAAGCATTCTTTCCCCTTTCTTAATTTAGAAAAATGTTGACTAGAATAAGGATAGAGCGCTTACATACTTCATGTTGTTTCATTAATCATCCTTCTTTGAGTATAGCCATTCAAAATTATAAATATCTACCTAAAATACTACCTGTCACCCAGCCCACATTTCTGTGTCTAGTCCATGAAGTAGCCCTCCTTGAAGTTTTGTTGAAATGTACTTGGGAGGGGCTTAAAGACTTCTCAAATGCTGGTAATGTTCTCTTTCTTTACCTGGGCACTGATTACCTGGTTGATGGCTACCTGGATCTGTTTACTTTGTGAAAACTTATTCAGCTATAGACTTATAATTTGTGATCTCTTTTGTGTGTAACATAGTTCAGTGGACAAAAGGGGAAGAAAATGAACAAATCCGTGAACAGTGTTAAAAGCAAAAATTAAACCATACTGTGGGAGAAGATAACTGAAACACATGCAAGAAAGCATTTATATTCAGAATATTTTATTTTAAAAGTTCCTGCAAGTCAAAAAGAAAGGGGAAAAGAAAAACATGATCAATAGAAAAATGGACAAAGGATAAAACAAGTAACAAGAAACCTGTTCAACCTGTGAACAAGAAATGGTATTCAACTTACTAGTAATTATAGAAATACAAATTGGCAACTTTTTGAGATACCATTTCATACCAATCAAATTGAAGCCAAAATATATAATACCAGTTGATAAGCATATGAGGAAGCAGAAACCCTCATACATTGCTGATGTAATATAAACTATTATAATTTAGATTTATCAATTTTTGAGGTGAAGATAGGCAAATTCTGAGCCTCTGTGGTTTTACTTTTGTAAAGGGAAATTTTATTTTATCATAGATTTATCCCCACATGTAAGTAAGGTAGACCTACAAAGATGTGCATTGCAGATTTTTTCATAGTAGCAAAAAACTGGAAACAGACCTAAATATCCATTATTTGGAGGAATGGAGAAATAATAGCTGTTAAAATGAATAAAAGTAGACATATATATTAACATGACAAAATCTTGTAAACATAATATGGAGTGAAAAAAGCAAGTAAGGATTTATGCATTGTAAAATTATTAAAGTTTTAAAAGAACAGTATTGTTAATGCCTATACATATGGTAAAAGTATAGTACTATAGTTAGGAGGCACACTCATCTAATATAATGTTAATGCCTATACATATGGTAAAAGTATAGTAATATTGTTAGGAGGCACACTCATCTAATAGCTATTATGTTACCTCCGAGCAAAGAAAGAAATGGGGCTACTGAGCTACTTACATCTCAAAAAAATTATTTTGAAGTAGACATGGCAAAATTTTTACATTTATTAAATCTGGACATTGTTAGTTAATATGTATAATATTCTTCAAACTTTGTTATTTGTTCAAAATAGATTTCTTGTTTTTTTAATTTAGACTCACACCAGCGCATGAAGGATATAAGAAACCTTCCTCCCTTTTCTGAACACTTTTCATTCTTTGTACATACAGCTTTCTCAGTCACTGGGCATCTATACAGTGGTTTGTGCCCTGTCACCACCACCAAATCAAGGAGGATGAGATCTGATAGAATCTCTCCTTATTTTCTTTTGTCTTACCCTGCAGCACCCGTAGTAAAATTCAACAATATCTCTTAGGACACTTTTATTAAAAGTAAAATATTACACTACAACTAAAATGTCTGTAAGTGCATGACTTAAAGTTTTATTGACTTAAAACTCAAAAATAAATAGACTATCTTCTCTTATTTTACATTTCTCTTAAAAAAGTAATAACTTTTAATATGTAATAATATTGTTTGCTACTTCAGTTAATAAGTGTGTGGTTAGACCGTCACAAAACATCTGCTTTCATGCTACAGATTTTTGTGTTTAAAAAAATGTAACTATAATTTTTCAAAATTTTACACATTAACTTGTTAACTGTTTCCATGTAATTATTGAGGCCTTTCATTTTAGGAGTAGAAAAATGAGGTCAGCTAGAGTAGTTAGGGACTTCTTTTGTGGAATAGAGTACAGGAAATAATCAGATTTTACAGATTGTCCCTGGGACAGGTCAGAAGTTTACTTATGTAAATAAACATGTTAGGAGTCTCTACCACTTGTTAATAGCTTGGTTGTTAGGCAGTGTGCTAGACAACAGACTTTCCCTTTTCTCAGAGTGAGAGAAGAAGTTGCTCTTGTTGTTATTGATTTGTTATTGTTTTACTTGCAGGTTAAACGCTTTAAGATGAGAAACACTGATCTCTGTTTGAGCTCAGAAGGAACTGAGGTGATTTTAGCTACATCAAGTGATGAGAAACATCCACCTGAAAATATAATTGATGGGTAAGAGCTATTATTCTTTCTTTCTTTAAGTCTTAATATTAGGTCACCAAGACCCTTGAGTATAAGAGACTAGAAGTTTTACAACTAGCACTATGAAACATAGTTTAATAAAAGTTTGTTGAACTAGATTACTTGACAGAATACACCTTTGGTACCATTTCTGTAGCTAATTCAGTGTACATCTAGATTTTTGATCCTTTTCTTTGTAATTCTTAAATTGACCTATTGTATAAATTTTTTTAAAGCAGTTTAACAAAACACACTTCGATTAACCTCATTTTGTGGAAGTGTACTTTATAATATCTGGTTATGGTTGTATTCCAAATTTAATTGTAACTTCCTATCAACTGCCTATTTCCTTACTATCCTAAGTAAGATAACTTTGCCGATCTTTGCTTCACTTCCTTCTATCTACCTGCATTGCTTGGTTCTCAGCTTATTGATGTCATTCCAATATTTACTCTTCAATATGCTACAGCTTTTTTCTGGGACAGGTAAATATCATGCTCAAGCTTTTAAATTCCAAGAAAAAGTATTTAATGTGAGAACACCTTTTTTAATAGTTCTGGCTGTGTTATCATTCTCTTTAGTCTTCTTTCTTGGTATCTGTACAATGCCAAGAGTTTGACTTATAGAACTATATAATTTTAGAGGTGGAAAGATTTTTTAGTTCATCTTATTGCAACCTTTCATTTTAGACTTGTGGTTAGAAAAGTCTAAAAAGGTCAAGTATTAGCTTTAACTACTGAAGGCAGAGCCAATTGTTATACAGATCTTGTGGTTCTTTGTGTTCTACTATAACCATCTCCACAATCAATTTTAGAATATTGAATCACCCCCAACAGAAATCTTGTACTCTTTCAAGTCACCCCTATATTCCCCCTTCCCCACCAGCCTCTCTAAACACTAATGTAAGCACCAATATCCAGAAACAAACAAAACTTTCTCTCAATATAGATTTGTTTATTGGGACTTTTCACATAAATGGAATCATACATATGTGATATTTTCATCTTGTTTCTTTAACTTACATGTTTTCAAGAGTCATCCATGTTGTAGCCAATAGCAGTGTTTCATTACTTTTATTGCCATTATTATTCCATTGTATGGATGTAGCACATTTTATTTATAATTAGTCAGATGGATGTCTTGATTGTTTCTACTTTTTTGGCTGAATTACTCCCTATTTATTAAAACAAATCAACTTATAGACTCAGGAAACCCAGTCACTGCCAAGACCATATCACAGTAAATTGTTGAAAAATAAAAAAATTTAAATAGCAGAGCAAAGAGATACATTATATACAGGCAAATAGTAGTACCAGTGACAGCTGACTTTACATCACAAATAGTAGAAACCAAGTGACAGTGGAATAATATCTATTAAATGCCAGGGAGAGGAGAAACAAACAAAAAACATATCGAACCAGAATCTGTGTCTAGCTAAAGTATCCTTCAAATATAAAAGTAGAATAAAGATATTTTATTCATCATAACTAGACCTGTGTTATAGGAGATACTCAAGAAAGTTCTGTAGATTGAAGTAATATAATAGGAGATGGAAATTCAACCTACAGGAAGAAAGTAAATGCATTGGAAATGTTAAACATTTGGCTAAATATAGAATTTTCTTTTAATGCTTTTAAAAGACAACTGAGTACTTAATGGGGGAAAACATGTACTGTGTGATTTATTACATATGTAAATGTAAAATAAACAATGGCAAAAAAGTGGAGTTCAGTATAAATTGACTATCATGAAGGTCTTATAACCTTGAGAGCACCCATTGGCAGGGAAGGATAGCTAAAAAATCAAGAGTAATTAAATGGAATTTTAATTTTTAAAAATTTATTCAAAAGTAGAAGATAGGAAAGGAGAAATAGATAAAGAAGAAATAGAAATGAGAGGCAAATAGAAAATGAGTAGCAAATTAGTAGACTAAAACCAAGCCATGCTAACAATTATATTAAATGCCAGAGTGGCATGCTGGGAAAAAATGAAAGACTGAAGTGGATGCTGTCTATAAGAGATGCATTTTAAATATAAAAGGATAAAAAAATACACCTTATAAACTGTAAGAATAAGAAAGTGGCTATGACTATATTCATATCAGACAAAGTAAAATATAGATAAGCACTATTACTGGAAATAAAAGGGATAATTTATAATGCCAGAACATCAATTCATTAGAAAACAATAACAATCCTAAATTTATGTGGACTTCATAATAGAGCTTCAAAATATGTGAAGCAAAAAACTAACATATAAAAGAGACAAATGCACAATCATAGTTGGAATTTTTAAGTTTTCTTTCAGTAATGACAGAACAGCTAGACAAAAAAGTCATAAAAGCTATAGATGGTATCAGCTACCTTGCATGTAGGCTGCTTGATATATAGCCACTGTCGTATATGTAGTCTATTATTGACTGAAACATTATTAAGTGACGAATGACAGTAAGTAAATTTAACATGATCAGTTTCCAGAAAAAAAATCAATGGTATTGCTAGCAGGAAACAATTAAAAAGTGAATTTATTTATCTTTTTTTTTTTTAATAATAAATTTTATTTTTATATTCCCCCATACAACTGCACATGCCCCATTCTGACCCCAATCCCTCCCCTCCCAGCCCCCACCCCCAAAAAGTGTCTCTGGTTCATAGTTTTTTGTTGATTTTGATTTTCACTTTCTTATAGTTATTCATTTTCCTGATCCCTTATTTAAGTTTTCTAGATTCCTGCTATGAGTGAGACCATCAGGTATTTTTCTTTTTCTTTTTGGCTTATTTCGCTGAGCATGATCCCTTCCAGCGCCATCCATGTTGCTGCAAATTGCATGTGTTTATCTTTTTTGAATGCTGAGTAATATTCCATGGTATATATGTACCACATCTTCTTGATCCAATCATCTATTTTTGGGCATTTGGGCTGTTTCCAAAGCTTAGCTATTGTAAATAGTGCTGCTATAAACATAGGAGTGCAGGTGTTCTTTGGAATTGATGTTTCTGTGTCCTTTGGGTAAATACCTAGGAGTGGAATTGCTGGATCATATGGAAGCTCTATGTTTAGTAGGTCCAGAAATCTCCACACAGCTCTCCATAGTGGTTGGACCAGTTTGCATTCCCACCAACAGTGCAGGAGAGTTCCTTTTTCTCCACAACCTCGCCAACATTTGTTGTTGCTAGTTTTTTTAATATGTGCCATTCTCACTGGTGTAAGATGGTATCTCATGGTAGTTTTGATTTGCATTTCCCTGATTACAAGTGATGTTGAACATTTTTTCATATGTCTGTTGGCCATTTGCATTTCCTCTTCAGAGAAGTTTCTTTTTAGCTCTTCTGCCCATTTTTTGACTGGGTTATTTTCTTTGTTGTTGTTGAGTCTCATCAGCTCTTTGCAGATTTTTGTGATCAGTCCTTTATCATTAGTGTTGGGTGCAAAAATGTTCTCCCAGTTGGTGCGGTTTCTCTTTGTTTTTGTTATTGTCTCTTTTGCTGTGCAGAAGCTCTTTAATTTGATGTAGTCCCAGCTGTTTATCTTTGCCTTCACTATCACTGCTTTGGGTGATGTGTCTGTAAAGATGTCTTTGATATGCAAATCACGTAGTGTTTCGCCTATATTTCCTTCTATGTATTTTATGGTTTCAGGTCTTATGTCTAGTTCTTTAATCCATTTTGAGTTGATTTTTGTGTATGGTGTGAGGTAGTGGTCAAGCTTCATTCTTTTGCATGTAGCGACCCAGTTTTCCCAGCACCATTTATTGAACAAACTTTCTTTGCTCCAATGCATAGTCTTTGCTCCTTTGTCAAAGATTAGTTGACCATAAATCTGTGGGTTTATTTCTGGATTTTCTATTCGATTCCATTGGTCTGTATGTCTGTTCTTGTTCCAATACCATGCAGTTTTGATGATTATGGCTTTGTAGTATAGTTTGAAGTCTGGGAGAGTGATGCCTCCATTTCCTTCTTTTTTTTTCAGTAGAGCTTTGGCTATTCGGGGTTTTTGGTGATTCCATATGAATTTCATCAATAATTGTTCTATTTCTTTGAAGAATGACATTGAAATTTTGATTGGAATAGCATTGAATCTGTATATTGCTTTTGGAAGGATGGCCATTTTAATAATGTTTATTCTTCCAATCCATGAGCAGGGGATGTCTTTCCATTTCTTTGTGTCTTCTTCTATTTCTTTTAACAGTGTTTTATAATTTTCTTTGTATAGGTCCTTTACCTCTTTTGTTAGATTTATTCCCAAATAGTTGATTTTTTTTGTTTCGATAATAAAAGGGATGGTTTTTTTTATTTCTTCTTCTTCAGATTTATTGTTTGTGTATAGGAAGGCTACTGACTTTTGCGTGTTGATTTTGTATCCTGTCACTTTACTGAATTGATTGATGAGTTGAATTAGTTTTTCTGTGGAGTTTTTGAGGTTCTCTATGTATATTATCATATCATCTGCAAATAGTGATAGTATTTATCTTTTTTTAACGATTTATTTTCTTTCTTTATGCATACAAGGACTGGGATCTAGGCCAGAGGTGCAGGAGCGTGAGAGTATTCACTAGAGATAGAGTGGGGAGCAGAACAGGCAGATTGACTGAAATACCTTGCTGAGGGGAGCAGCACTCAAAACAGGAGAGGTCTGCTGCACCAGGTGGGTTAACTCCATCCTGGCCAGGGATGGAACTTGTGCTGCAGCAGCTGCTGAAAGATTCATAGTGAGACTCAACTCCTTGTGCCACCAGAAGGCCCAGAAAGTGAATTTATTTAAAATTCTGTTTATAATAGTATCCAGCATATCATCCCTTTTTATTTAAGAAGATATGTAAGACCTTTATACTGAAAACTATAAAATGTTGCTGAGAGAAATTAAAGGACTAAATAAATTAAAAAATACAGGGGACCTCCCTGGTGGCACAGGGAGTTAAGTTGTGGCACAATGAAGCTATCCACAGCCATTGCAGCACGAGTTAGATCCCTGGCCAGAGAGCTAACCCACATGGCACAGCAGACCTCTCCTGTTTTGCCCGCTGCTTCTCTCAGCAGTATATTTCAGTCACTGTCCCTGTTCGCTTTCCCATTCTCTCTCTGGTGAATCCTCTCACTCCCACCCTCTCTCCGTACCTCTGTCCTGTGCCTCAGTTCTTGTATGCATAAATAAATAAAATAAATCTTTAACAACAACAAAAAACCCCACTGCATTCATAATTGGAAAACTCAATATTGTTAAAATGGCAATTTCTCCCTAAAATGACCATAGATTCAGTATAATCTCAATCAAATCTCTACTTTTATATAGAAATTAACAAGTAGATTCTGAATGTATATGAAAATGCAAAGACTTAATCTAGTTAAAAAAATAATCTTGAAAAAGAAGTTGGAGCACTTACTACATTATCTGACTTCAAGATTTAAAATAAATATATAGTAATCAAAACAGTCTGGTATTTTTAAAAAGGTAGATCTACATAGATCAATAGAACATAGTAGAGTGCCCTCACATATATTAGGTCAATTAATTCTCCACAAAAAGCTAAGGATACAGAAACAGATCAATGGAATAAAATGGAGAGGGCAGAAACAGATCTACCGAAATACAGTCCATGAATTTTAGGAAAAAAAATGCCAAGGCAACTCTTTTAACATTTGGTGCTGGAACAACTGAAAAAGCATATGGATAAAAATAAATCTTGACTCCTACTTCATAATGAACCCCAAAAGTTAATTTGGATTCCTCAGGATGGACCAAGAGCTCAGTTCAGAACTAAAATATTTATTTATTTATTTATTTTGGAGAACAGAAAAGGTGGGTTTATTGAAACACATTGCTAAGAGAAGCAGCAGTCAAGTTAGGAGAGGTCTGCTGTGACAGAACTAAAATATTTGTACTTCTGAAGAAAACATTATAAAATACATTTGTGGCCATGGGATGAACAAAGATTTCTTAGGGAGGACACAAAAATTACTAAGTATAAATGAAACAAGTCATATGAGTCAACTATACCAGTAACAAAACTTCTACATATTGGAAAACACAATAAAGAAAATGGAAAGGCAGGGCCTCCCTGGTGGTGCAGGGGTTAAAGTCTCAGGGCTATCAAGCTATCACCAGCCACTGTGGCATGAATTCGATTCCGGCTAAGGGAGGTAACCCACATGGCACAGCAGACCTCTCCTGTCTCCCCCGCTGCTCCTCTCAGCAGTGTATTTCAGTCAGTCTGCCTGTTCTGTTCCCCATTCTGTCCCTGGTGAATCCTCTCACCCCCCTGCATCTCTGACCTGTACCCCAGCTCTTGTACGCATAAATAAATAAATCTTTTTAAAAAATGTATATCTGGCAGTAGTAATGAAGAAATTAGAGAGGAGAAATTGGAGACAGAATGGACAGAAAGGGGTTACAAGAATTCAGTGACTGTTTATTTTTTAAAAAATACTTATTCGCTAGAATGTTATGATTAAGCATTTTTATTGGGCTATATCTTTCTCTTTTTCTTTAAAATTAACAATAGGAATCCAGAAACATTTTGGACCACCACAGGAATGTTCCCCCAGGAGTTCATTATTTATTTTCACAAACATGTAAGGATTGAAAGACTTGTAATCCAAAGTTACTTTGGTAAGAAGAGGGCATGTATGTAAACTTTTGGCAAAACACTAATTTTTCTTTACAGCATGGAATCCAGTTTTATTGCGGGGGTGGGAGGTTGGGTTGTATGGGTTAACTGCCTTGGGCACAATTAGATTTCTCAGAGTGCGCTTTTGAAACCCTTCCAAAGTATATAATAATTTCCTTGCAGTTTACTGTGTGAAAGTCTATGGCAAAAGGCTCCGAGAAGCCAGCTTGCCAGAAAGCTCGGTTCCTTGACATCTGTATTCCAGAATCATCTGGCCCAAGATTCTCTGTCAAATTCTTTATGGAATTCTGATAACCCTGATTATTTGCATTGGATGGTTTTGATTTTTCTATTAATGATGATGTTTTCTCAGGGATTTAGGAGAAGAATCTCCCACTGGTACATTATTCTAATCCTGTATTATGTTACTTAAAGTATCAGACAGAATCATGGCAGGAAACAGAATGCATCCCAATTGGTTCAAATGAAGAGACTTGGTTAATGGGACTACTTACAAAATTATAGGTGAAGGGAATAAACCCTGGTGAAAGACCCAGAAACTGGCAACTGCATGAAGCCATTACCACCCTTGGAGCAAGGGAAGGAAATTGTGTTACTGGAATAGCTGGGTGAGAGCTGGAACCTGTGGATAAGGACTTGGCTGGCAGGAGCTGTAATCAGGAAGGGACAAAACCACTGTCAAAGACATGGTGCTGAGGCAGGAAGGGAGTGGATTAAAAAACAACCTGATCTCACTTCCCCCACAGCCCTCCAGTTTCCTCTTGGTGCCTCCCATTTGCCAAATCTGACCAGGAGCCAATAGGCAAGTGAGTCCAGATGGGTTCTTCCTGGGGGCACAGAACAGAGAAAGAGTAGATTTGTGGGGGTGGGACCTGGCTTAAGGGTAATGGAGAAAAAAGTCTCTCTCTTCTGTCATTAATTGTGGAGGACTTGAAATCAGACCTAAAATTTGAATTCCAGTTCTTGTAGTCTGTATCATTGAATACTTTCCCTAACTTCTCTAAGTTGCCTGACTTCTCTGAATCTGTTAAAGTGGGTTAATACTTTTGTTGTAAGATTGTAGTGAAGTATAAATGAATAAATATGCCTGACTCAAGGTAAGTTCATCTTCATAAAGATTTGTGACCAGGATCACTAATAATTACAGTATTATTCCCAATTCTACTAGCTCTGAGTTGTATGCTTGCAATCATTTGTAAGTTACAGCTTCATAAGACTTCACAAGACTGCATTTGCCGTAGAAACTTAGGGAAAAACAGTGATTGTCAGAATATGGTGTTCCTGATGCCAGTGTGTTGTACAGTCCCAATCAGTCCCTCAGTCTCAAACAGGAAAAAAGTAATATAGGGACAATAACTATGTAGAATCAGATAGATAATTAACACTTTATTTTACTTATTTATAATGTCAGTGCGGACCTTGAGGATTGAAAAGAGCACATCTAAAGAGCCTGTTGATTTTGAGCAGTGGATTGAAAGAGGTATGTGATTGTTTTTACCGGTGCTATTTTAAGTGTGAGAGAAGAGAGTTGTCCTTTGACTCTATATTTCTAATCAGGCTGCATTTGGGTGAAAAACAATGACCTGAATGATTCTTGTGACATATTTGGAGCCTAGAAAAATCCAAATTTGAATACAGTCTGCTTCTTTACTTAGTGATTATGTAATTTTTAAAATGTTACTTAATTTTTCTGAGTTTCAGAATCCTTATCTGAAAAAATGGAGAGAGTACCTAACATTTAAGGTTTCTGTGAGCGAAGTATTTGGCACATTGTAGACAGACAGTAAATCTTAGTTTTTCACTTTCTTTCCTTCCTTCCCAATTAATGGTAGTGTTTAAATATGTCATCAGCAAAATTGGCAGCCTCTAGTTAAACATAGCATGTTGCCTTTATGTGTCTCTTTTCCTTCCCACCATGAAAGTAATAGTAAAGGAATGAAAAAGGTGTATACCTACCAAGGACCAAAAACAAAAATAATAAATAAAAACAAATAAGAAACCAAGGGTCCAAAGCAGATAAATATGAGAGATCACTAATATTATGGAAGAGAGAAAGCATATGGAAGACTAGTAAATGCTATAAAGGAATGGAGTAGGTACAACCTAAATGCCTGTCAAGGAGAATTTTACTGAGAAGCAAGCCAGTTTACTCAACAGAGCCCCAGGAATTCCTAGAACTTGAGGGTAAAAGGTAGCATAGAAAGTGTGAGTAAGACATGAGCCAGAAAACAAGAGTAATTAGTTGAATATTTGTATACAGAGTGGTTGAACTCTAGGTACCTTCTCCTGAGGTCCACAAAGCCAGGTGACTGTTCTCCCACAAACCACCCCTAAGAGACAACTAGCAACACTGAATATGAGATTCAGTATTCAGTCTCACTGAATATGAGACTCAGAGACCAGGTATAGTAGAGAGAGTAAGTGAAACATGGAATTGAAAACAGGGCATCTAAGTGCAATCTTTATATTGAATGATGTCAACTCCAGCTTTCTTTCTGTGCTGTGTTCTCATGGCAACGACCAAGAACATAATGCCAGCCAGGAGACTGGAGGCTACATCTTCGAAGAAAAACAACTTATGAGTTCAACAAAGGCTAGCTCATTCCTGATCACCCCATCAAAGTTTGCTAGTCAATGAGCTTGGCTCATGCATGCAGTTCTCAAAAAATGTATTCATAAGTAACAAAGGACAGCCAAAGATCACCAGACATTTGATGAAGACCTTCAACCTGAATATTATCAAGCCTTTAGCTCTGACTTCCAATCTATATAGGAAATATGGAGGACTAATTATCTTGAAACAAGTAATTTAATTTCTGAATAATGACAGCCATTATTATATAAATTAAACATTTCATCTTTCCAAAATAATGATGTGATTAACTTATAATGGAATAACTTAATCTCTCCTAAAATTATATAAAGGTTTTCTACTATTGGATACCAGAAAAGATCAATTCATGGGCAGCACAATACATTTACAACACCATTGTGAAAATTCACTGTGAGAAACTGAGCTCTAGTTACTATCTCTGGGCTTGAGATGGTCCCTTTCAGGCCTTCAATTACTGTTAGTAGCTTGATCCTTAGAAGGATTACATTTTATCAGTATCTTACTTGAATTCCATTACCATAATTTACATTTGTATTTCCTATAGTTTATATTTACTAGAGATATTTTATAACTCATTATTTGTCTTTCATACATTTTATATCAAATATCTCTATTTTTTCTTGAATTCTAATCCCCACTGAAAATTCTTTCAATTTGGTTCTTAACCATGGTTTACCAGATATCATGTTTTGCTGAACATAAATAGGTAACTATCCTCGTGTATTTTAAGCCTTAACTTTTTTCTGTTAAATTTGTGTTTTAGATCTAGTGCACACAGATGGGCAGCTTCAAAATGAAGAAATTTTAGTAAGTAAATATACTTTGTAGAGATAAACATTATCTTTAGTCAGCATAATGTATTTAAATTTTGAACCTATGTAAATTTTGAACCTTAGTAAATCCTGTCACAATATTATAGGTTATGTGCATAATAGAGATTATTCTCAATAATATTATAATCTAAATGTAGTATTCATAAATTAGGCTCTTATCTATCATAGAATGACAACAAGGATAAAACAATTCACTTATTTGCTTTTTATTCTGTTCATTTATTTTGAAGGGTTTGTTTTCTTTCGTTTGATTCTGTGAGCCTTCTAGAATAGGAATCTAAAAAGGTTGAGATGCCAAAATTGGGTGTTCATTTAAGCATTAAAGGACAAGTGAGATTCAGATACGGGGAACTGGAGCATAGGATCAGCAACAAATAAATCAAAGAGATGAGGCAGAAAGAGAATCAGTATTTTTCGACAACATTCCATTGGGCTTTGATTGTCAAGTGGAATGAATGCCTGTGGATGAGGAAGCTGCTGCCTCATCAGCGATTTCTCTGTTCTGCTAGTTAACAGGCTGCTAGGCCCTAGTGTTAGACAAACAAAAGAGTAAAACAACTAAAACCATGTATTTTTTCGTTGTAGTGTTTGTTATTTTAACATTTTTCTAAATGATGGTTCAAGTAGTAGTTTGTCCATTGTTTCCTTCTTCACAACTTGCTGGGAGCTGCTATGAAATCAGTATTTCAGAGGATTCTATAGGAAGTTAATTCTCTTCTCTACCACCCAAACTTGCCAGTGGCTGGGAGGCTATTTAGACCAGGAAAATTATTAATTAGACTGAGTTCTATCTTCCTGTTTTCTCCCATCTTTACTTGTGGGTTATGATTAGTAAGCCTATGCTGAATATTTTTTTTTAGAACTCACTGATCATTATAGAACATTTGGAAAACATAAGGGGGAATGGAAGACTGAGAATTACCCATATTATTATTCTGACAACAGCTCTAACTGTACTTATTTTCTTCTAGGTGTCAATCATTTGCAACACATAGTTATAATAGTAATGTAGAAACAACTTTTATCTTTTTCAGCTTACTATTATATCACAAGCTTCACAATTATATTTTTTAAATTAAATAAATGAAAATAGGCAAATGTTAACTAATTTCCTTTTTCTTTCCTCTGTCATTATAAGTGATACTACAAAGGAGATCTTTTGCAAGTTCCCCCTACTACAATCTTCACCTTTTTAATTATTTCCTAAACTTAATTTTGAAGAATGGAATTATTGGGTTTATAAGTATAGACATATGTATAACTTTTGAGACATATGTATATCTTTTGAGATATATTGACAAATTGCACTTCAGACAAATTATATAAATATAAAAGTATAGTAATGTTTCAGGATAATATATTCTGAGGTATCATTCATCAAAGGAAATCTCTTTTCATGAAAAATACTTTAGAAAAACTTTTTTAAAATTGACCAGGAATGTAATTTACAATTTTAGCTTCTCCTGCTAGTTTTTATCAAACCAAGGGTGATATTTGGCTGATATACACCAGGATAGCTGTACTGTTATATCTCGCTGCCTTCTCTTCTGAGTATTGTTTTATATATTGTTATATATTTAGAATATTACTCTTGCAGCAGACCCTTTCTTTTGCCAACTACTTGTTGCTAAAAGCATCCATATTAATTTTTCCCCTACAGGTACGTGATGGTCATGCCACTTATTTGAGGTTCATTATTATGTCAGCCTTTGATCATTTTGCATCTGTGCATAGTGTTTCTGCAGAGGGAGTGGCTGTCTCAGGTCTTTCTTAATAACTATAAAAAAAATTATTGCATGATTTTTTTAACAATATATTTAAACATGAAGTTGTCACTGGTATACTTTATTAAAGGGATTTGTATCAATCTGCTTAAGTCTTTATTTTCTCATCAACATTTTGAGAAAAGGAGTTTTGTTATATCTGTCAGTAATTATGACCACCATGGAAGGTACAAGAAAGCTCTCCCTTCAATATGTAGCTTAATCAAGTGACTGACTACACATGAACACTTAATAGGTAATATGTTGTGTCCCCACAGCATCTAACATGGTGCCCTTCAAGTCCAGTGCATTAATTTTTTAAGTTACTTATTGATCAATGCAAAGGGCTAAGTGAGCAATGGAAATAGTAAGCAGTGTATGAATCGGTCAGATCACATTGGGCTATCATAAAAGAAAGAACTGGCTGACACAAATTAGAATAGAAAATGTACGTGGGCCTTCCTGGTGGCGTAGGCGGTTGGGTGCAGCGCTGTGGGGCTGTCCGCGGCCTCTGCAGTGCCAGTTCACTCCCCGCCAGCCTTGGAGCAACCCACGTGGCGAGCGGGCATCTCCTGTCTCGCCTGCTGCTCGCCTCAGCAGTGTATTTCGTGAGTCTGCATGTTCTGTTCCCCACTCTGTCTCTGGTGAATCCTCTCACTCTCCCGCGCGTCTGGCCTGTGCCCCGGTTCTTGTATAGATAAAGTAAAATCTTTTTTGAAAAAAAGAAAGAAAGAAAATGTACAGATCACACTGAAGCCATCTCAAATAGTCTGATATATTTTAATCATTCTGTTAACTTGTGGCTTCTTAAAACATTTTCTTTCAAATCAAGTCACAGCTGTGTGTACTTTAGGCTGTGGCCATCATAAACAAATATGAAAAGAAGCAAAGTTAAAACAGATGAATACCAATGGTTATCCATTAGTTTCCTTTAATCTAACAGAAATCACCATTAGGAGACTTGTAAAGAAATCAGAGAAACAATTCCAGGTATGAGCTTCTGCATAACTGAATGACAGCTTTGTAGTGCTTGTTGTCCAGTTTGGTCAAGGTTATAATGTTTTGGGAAAGCCAGTCTCCTCCTCCCTCCTCACCCCCCAGGAGATTGGATAAGTAAAGATGTTGAAGGAGTCTAAGTACAGAGAGTCAGATTTCTATAAAGTATATTCAAGGACAGTAAAGTGAGTTCCTTCCTCTTCTGTGGTAGGAATTGGAGATAAGTTCTTGGAAATTCACCCCTCATCACCACCACCACTGACTGGTTTCAGTCTTTTGGCAAGAAAAGAATCACCATCTTCACTGTCTTCTCCCATTCTTATTCCTTTTGCTTCCAATTCTTCATCTTTATCTAAACAGTGTTGTTCTCCCCATGCTTGGCTCTAAAAAGCAATTTAGTATCTTAAATTTTTAATTCATAATTGACAAATTTGGTAAAATGAATTTACCTAATATGCAGAATGTGGTATCTAGCCACTCGGTATCAGAGTATACACCGAGGACTATTCTCACACTCTGAGGCATCGGGTATTGAGTGGTCTCTGCATTTGGGCCTGTGTACATTTTTTTTTTGAATTGTCCATTCTTTAACACTCAGTTTATTTGCTGCTTCATTTTCTCATATCAATTGTTCCTGAGTGATTGCTGTGACCGGCATTGCCTAGCTGAGCATTGTATACTTAAATTGGAAAAATCTGAGCTTGTGATTCAGCTAGTGACACAAGTCAAGAGAGTAAGGCTGAGCTTTGAGAGGCTGTCTGTCAGTCACCTTGAATTGGGACATCTGTCCAGATTAATTGTGAAGCTTTTCCAGAATAGCACGAATTTCCTCTGGACGATAGTTCCAAGGCCCAGGTTCACCCTGCAAGAGAAATGAATCAGGCGTTTCCAATTTGCCAGAGATCTGGACTAGTGATATCTGTGAATATACCTGGGTGTTGTGAATATAGCTTTGTGAGTGACAGATGCAACCATAAGGTGGGTGAGATCACCCAGGGAAAGGGTATGGAGTGGGTCAGAGAAGTAGGAAAACCAGAGGGGGTAAAGTGAAAGAGTTTCTAAAGGAGAAAGGGATCTGCACAAATAAGTTTTTCTTTCCTAATCAGACCTTCACACTGGCCTTATTTTCTCCATCCCTTACAGCAGTTCTACCCCTTCTACGAAGCACTTGTGCCTTTCAATCCCAGCGCCTTAGTTCACTGCTCCTCAACTCCTCCCAACTATCCCCAGTCCTTGCTTCCTCAAGTTCATGCCTCACCCAGTAGCCAGAGATCTTTCTATAGATCTGAGACGGCTTCTCCCCAGCTCAAAACTCTTTAATCCCACGGTCTGCAGATGAAGGCCAACTTCCTTGATCCAGAATGAGACCCCTATAACCTAAATGCCCTGATTCTCCATTCATACCCTAAAATGCCCTAAAATGCCCTAAAATGCCTCAGTGCCTCCACCTACCCTCTTCCCAACATTTGCAATGACTTTCATTCCTTTTGTTCATGTGATTGACTCATCCTGTTGGGCCCAAGCTACCATCATCTCCTCTGAAAAATCTTTCCTTCCCCAGGAGTTGAAAAACTTACAGCCTGAGAGCCAAATCTCTCCTGATGCCTCTCTTGATTTTGTTTACCTTTTGTCCCTGAACTGAATCATTGCAAGAGAGATTATTGGCCACAAAGTTGAAGATATTTACTATCTGGCCCAGGAAAGGTTTGCTGATCTCAACTCTGGCATCCCACAGTACTTGGGACCCTATTTGGATCTTCTTATACCCCATCTATGTCAGACTTGATGGGGTTCATCTTGTGTTGTGTTGGGTCATTGGTTTTGTGTGACCAATACACAGGCCTAACCCAGGGTCAGGACTCAGCCAGCTTGCCACAATTACGCCATCTTATGACCATGTCTTAGCGGAGGGGAAAGGAAAAAGGTCCTGAATTCTTGTTGTGGCTCTTGGCACCATGGGGATTCATCTGCAAATTTTTGCATGTTTCATTTGTGTGAGTAGGGCTGGTTTAACTTGTGGACAGAGGAGCATCCACATGGTCAGGCTTCCTGGCTCACCAAGGCTGGAATGCCTTTAGCAGCTATATAGTTTATGCCCTTGCACCAAGGGATCAGATGCTACATGACTTTGCTTCCCCACCCTAGCGAGGCTGGAAACCTAACAGGGACACAATCACCAGAAAGGAAGCCAGGAATCAATTCCTGCTTCAGTTTTTCTAGTTCCTGACTGCAATATTTGTTCTCTTCCAGCTACCTACATCCCCCTCCAGGCTCAAGCCCACCTCTGAAATTAGCTGCTTCAGATCTTCCCACTCCTGTCCCATCCCATCCAAAAGATTTAGAATGGAACTCAGAGCCTTGTACAGTGTAGTCTTGGGCAAGTCAATTCCACGCTTGGCGCATTGTATATGAAATGAAAACATTATTCTCTCAGCTTCAAACCAAACCAGAAGGAGGCAGTGGCAGACCAGATACAAGGGGCTCTCAAGTGCATTGTTTCGTCCCCTATGAGAAGGGGACCAACATCCCCATTTTGCAAAAGAGGAAACTGAAGTTCTATGAGAAGAAAGAACTTGCCTGTGGTCACATAATTAGTAAGTGGGTAGACAGTGATTTGAATCCAGATCTCCCTGATCTAAGCCCTTTGCCCTTGCCTTCCCTGGCCTCCTACCCCGGTCACCACCTTGTAGAGGATCCTGCCTTCCTGGAGTATATAGAGTCTCTTGGGCAGTGCTGCATAGAGCTGGCTGCTCTGGTTCTTCATTGTGTCCACCACCACAGGGCACTGGGGGTTCCTGTCCAGCAGCAGGCGGGCTGCCTGCAGGCGATCCTGGAGGTTCCGGTGCTTCCGGATATTCACGTTATTCTTAAAAGCCCAGCCATCTATAAGAGAAAAGCCAAGCAGTGGGCCCTGTAGTTACAGCAGACACTTCCTGCAGACTAAATATGCCCCATTCTTAACTGAATGTCCCAGATAGAGGAACCCTTGGCCCAGTTTCCTATTATGGGTGAATGCACAAGATTACAAAGGGAGTTAGTGATTGATCCAGAACTGACAACCCGGGTTACTGACTCCCAGACCTGGGCTCTTAGAAAAGCCACTCTAATAGACCAGTCTTCTTGAGATTTAATGTGCACATACATCATACAGGGACCTCATTAAAGGAAGATTATGATTAGGTCTGCCTAGGGTGCTGCTGAGAGAATAGCTCCCAGGATACCAAGGCTGCTTAGAGAGGCAAGGGTCAAGAGCAGTAGTTGTAATTGTGTGCTACCCAGACCATCAATGTCAGCCTCACTACAAGTTTGTTAGTAATAAAAATTCCTAAGCCCTTTCCTAGACCTACCAGGAATGGAGCCTAGCTATCTGTTTTAAGAGACTTCTAGATGATTCTAAAACATGCCAAAGTTTGAAAACTACTGATCTAGAGCCTAATTATTCTACTAATTAGCCTTCTAATTATTCCTCACCATAGTGTTCTTTCCAAACTGCAAATCTAATAACACTCTCCTGCATAAAATTTTCCCTTCCTCCTATTGCCCTCGAGATAAATTCCAAATCCCTCAATGTGCCCCACGAGATCCTCAGTGATCTGACCCTTGCCCATCTCTCCAGCCTTCACCAGTCAAGTGGGTGAAATACTTGGGATTTCTTTACTCACCCTATATCCATCTTTCAATTTCCGCCTTTTTATTACAGTTGCTGCCTCCACCTGCAGCACTAGTAGAGCTGGGGCTTCTCTGTCCTAGGTTTGGTTAATAGCCTCTGCTACTTTTTTTATTTTCACCTGCTTACTGCCTAAAGGTAGAAATCATTAGCTAAACAAACAACCACAAATTGCCACTGGTCTTGCTCTTCTACTTGCCTCATTTTGGGGAAGCCTAGAACCCAGCATGTGGTCACAGGTTCCTTCAACAGCCTCATAGTCCATGTTTTCAATAACAGCTGCCTCCAAGGGTAACAGAAGCTGCTTCTATCAGCAGATTCTCAATGCATCAAGCTCCTTCACTTAATACTCTTCCCCCAAGAAAAACCAGCTCTCAGAAAAATTCACATCAAGGTCCAAGGCCCTGGACACATGTATTTATTACCTGCCCTTAAGACACCAAGACTCAGAGGACAGTAACACC